GACCGTCCATTAGAACTATATCGAGAATCAAATGAAGTGGGGGTTTGAAAATTTGTGGACTTATGATGTTTGATGTGAGCTTTTTAACTAAAATATTTTCAGGTTCCTCGTACTTGTGGTTACACCGGAAGTGGTGACAACTTTCATATTTCAAATGGTGTTCAAATGTGATGATTGTTTATTTTTTATCAAAACACAATTTTTAAATATATAACAGAATATTTCGGGTAGCAGGTTCAAACAGAAATTCTTTAATACAAAAATCTGTTTAACACTGTTTTATGACTTCTTTAATTTTTTGATATTAACGCCACCTCTTGATGCTATCATAAGTGTGATATTATTACATTTATTACAACTTCCGCATATTCAAAATTGGAAAATTTACAAAGTGAGTATTGGAAATTTTACAATTCAACGTTTAATTTAAAATTATCGTTTTACTACAATTACGGCTTAAATTATCTTATTATTAATATCACTTCAAAATTCACGTTTGTATATCAAGATTAAGTTTCATATTTACATAACAGAGATACATGATATTTTCCTATTACAACTTTTGAATTTTATCGGTGACTCTTTTTGTTTTAACTAAGTCACTTATGTCGAAATTGATTCTTTTTTCCTGTTATCTCTTTCGATACTGTTCTTTTTTAATTAGTCTTTCTTTTACTTTTTCTAATCTTATTTCTAAAATTTCTATTTCTTAATTTTTCCAAATTCGGGGAGGTAATATTTCAATCATTAAGAATGATGGACCCTCTTGATGGGTAGTGTTCTGGATATTATTTAACAATTTTTCTATTATTAATACTTCCACACCCAACCTTAGACAGTTAAAATAATGTTTCAGATCCTTCGCCTAAGAATTCAAGCTATGAACAATCCAAGCTGAAATTTTTTAATACCAATCTGAAGGGGGAATCAGTCAAAACCTTTCGTTGTTCACAACCTCTAAAATAATCCTGCACAAACCATTAACAAACAATGCTGTAAAATGCCTCATCATATTTTGATACAATCACATAATATTTTTGCTATCGAATCCTCTGCATTCCAGCTAGCTTTAAAACCAAACTGTATTGAGTCAGGTTTCTACATAGACAAACTCAAATCGAATCCAAAATAACTTCTCCAGCACGTTAGTCAACATCATCAGCTGAAAGATCAGTCTATATACTATGGACTCTTGCTCTTATCTTTGCGTTGCATCTTCAGTTTCAAAGCAGTTACCCTAATCTTTTCAATCATTTTGTTTGTTAATATCCATGTCTCGCATCCATAAATCATGGCAGGAAGGCATACATTTCCCACAATTTTCTCTTTTTCTCCATTTCTATGTTTTATTTCCATATATTTTTGTATCTGTTAAACATTTGCCATCCCATTGCCATTCTCAAAGTCTACAAATGATAAGATCATTGGGAAGTCATAGTCATTCGATTTTTCTTATCAGTTGCTGCACAACTAAAATATTGTCTAGCCTGGAGAAGTTCTTCTTAAATCCTGTTTGATCTTCGGAGGATGGTAGGTATTGCTCTATTCTCCTTGTGATTATGAACATAAATATTTTATACATCACTGGAAATAAACTTATTGGTCTGTAATTGTTGATCTGTTCCCTATCTCCTTTTTTGTATATTAAAGCAAGTTTAGCTACGAGCCAGCTATCAGGTATCTTTTTTTGTTGAATATTATCATTATATGGTTTCCACCTGCTTCTATTTCTTCATTTCTTATCGGATCTATACCTCCTATTTTTCCTTCCTTCAGTTTTGATATTACATCACTTATTTCTTCTGTCATTATTTCGTCTGTTCATTCTGCCTCCATTATCTCTGCTCCCGTATTCCATTCAATTCCTTCTTTTTCCGTCTTGTTGTAGAGTCCCTTATAAAAGTCGCATATAATGTTTAATATTTCTGCATCTTCCTGTTTGCTCATACCGTTCTTATCTTTCATTGTTATTATTTTGTTTTGTCCCAGTGATTGTTGTCTCACATTTTTTCTTATATTTTTATTATATTTATATATTTTTTTACCAACATTTATTATCATCAATTGCTGTCTGTAGATTTTCATAAAACTCGTCTCTTTCTTCGTCATTGGCGGTAGAAGTTGGTGCATATGTATACTTGTATGATTTGTATTCTCCCGGCTATTTTATTTTTAAAGTTTAATGTAATCTTCGCAATTCTGTGTGAATATTTTTAAAGGAGGTAATATTATCTATACGTTTTTTATTTATTAAAAATCCGGGTCCACCTGTCTTTCCTAATCCATTATAGTAAAATACTGTTCCCTTTACATTTATACACTGCTCACCTTTTCTTCTGACTTCACTCAATCCTATTATATGCCATTTCGTGTCTTTTAGATCTTCTAGCAATTTCTCTAATTTCTCATCTTCTCTCAAAGTTCTGCAGTTATAGGACAGTATTTCAAGTATTTTTTTTATTATGATGTCGATTTATCATATATCAGATACATCAATAATATCATCTTAAATATCGAATTAATATCATCCCAATGCCCGTAACCACTATAATCTACTCGGAATCAATTTTGTCATTATCAAACTTGTAAAACTTCTATATAAACTTGTATTTGCTAGGATGAGTGTTATCTGGCATTACAAATAGTAATCTCTCAAACAAAATAGGCCAGGGATGGCGAACCAATGGCACGCGACACAATATTTTGTTCACGTCACTGATCACAAAATTCATTATGATGCACTACCAAAAAAGTGTGAAGTAGGTATTATATGACGAGCGATCGCGAGTGATCACTAGTCAATCTACATCGCGAGTTTCTATTGCTAATGACGGATAGTTTGTTTATGCATAACATAATAGTGAATACTTGATTTGAAGTTTATTTGAGTTTTATCTCTGATTTTAACTGTTATTTAGTATGGCTAGTTCAGGAAAAAAACAAAAAGTGCAAGATAGAAAGAGTATCAGAGAATTTCAAATTTCTGTCTTAGTGGACAGAGAAATATGGCATGATTAGTAAAGGTGACAAGGCGGTGTGTGTTTTATGTTCTGGAACATCGTCTGTGAAACGGCATTTTGAAACAAATCACGAATCCGTTAGTCAAAAAAGCGAACCAAAGCAAAACGAATTAATTGCAAGTGCATTGAAAGACAAAAATAAACAGTCAGCATCTATGACTAAATATGTTCGCAAAAATTATCATACGAACGCGGCTGCAAATGTCATTGCTCGGCATAGTAAACCTTTTCAAGAAGGACAATTTTTTAAGGAAGTCTGGTTAGCATGCGCGCCCTCTCATGTTGATGATTTCGATAATACAGATAAGATAATTCAGCGCATCAAAGATACTCCTCTTACACAACAAAAGAAAGAATCTTAAAACTGGCCGAAAATGTAACAGATCAACAAAAAATTTACGTTAGCTCTGCTTCTTTTATACCGCTATGTCTTGACAAAAGCACTGACATGACGTCGCTAAATCTACTCGTTTAGCTGTTTTTGCTCAATATTGCGTTGGAAACGTCATTAAGGAAGAATTAATTGCGATAAAATCGTTGCTAACAACTGCAAGGGGCACTGATATTTGTACGACTGTTAAAAATTCGCTTGCTGAAAAATAAATTGATTTAAAACAAATTGTTTCCGTAACAACTGACGGTGCTGCAAGTATGGTGGGTAAAAAAATGGTTTCATAAGTTTATTTCAAACAGACGTAGTGCATTCAATTCTTCAATTCCTCTGCATCATTCACCAACAAGCCTGTGTGCTAAGAGTGGTTTAACATCTCCTGATAATGTAATGGCGGTAGTCACAAAAATAATCAACCTCATCTCGTCGTAGGCTTTAAACATTTGAAAGTTCGATGCTTTGTTAGATGAAATCAACTCGGTGTACAATGGCTTACTGATGTACAATAATAATGTTCGCAGGTTGAGTCGCGGGAACGTATATCAAAGATTTGTCGATTGCTTGGCAGAAATCAGACTGTTTCTGCAAAATGAGGAAAAAGTTGAAGAATACCCACAGCTGTTGGATGTTATGTGGCTTTCAAAATTGATATTTTTTACAGACATATGCCAACATTTAAATAAGTTAAACATGAAGCTTCAAGGCATAAATAAAACAATTATCGCCATAATAGATCTCATTCGCGCTTTTGAGAGTAAACTGCAAGTTTTCAGGAACGATATTATCACAAGAAACTACAAGTATTTTCCAAATTTGAAAAAATATATCAACGATTTGGAAATACATGAGAATCCAGACGAAGACCAAGCTACTGAAGAATTTATTTCTGTGATTGATTCTTCAATCAGGGAATTTTCAGCGAGATTTTCTCAGTTCAAAGAATTATCGGAAATACTCAAGCTTATTATGTACCCTGATGTGACGTCATTGGATAAACTGAATTTGTCCCAATTGGATTGGTTAGAAATTGAAGAATTTGAAATGCAGCTGATTGATTTCCAGTCTAGTTCAATATGGATTCAAAAATTTATTGAAACAAGGAAAGAGTTAGAATTAATTGAAACATAAACATGGAATGCGTTACCAGACACATTTAATTGTTTGAAGAAGTTGGCTAATGCTATTTTAACAATATTTTCATCAACTTATGCCTGCGAGTCATTATTTTCAGAGATGAATAACATTAAAGACTCGGTTAGAAACCGTTTGACAGATGACTCCAGTTCAATATGCATTCTGCTAAAAGTAACATCTTACAACCCTAACATATGTTATTTGTCATCTAATCTGCAACAACAGAAGTCACACTAATTTTACTTTAATTTAAATTACGCGTATAATTGAAACATTGCAAAATGTTCCTATTTTTTTGTAGTAAATAAAGAGTTTTGAGTTGATATATTAT